CCCCCCCCGCCCCCCAGCCTCTCCAGCCCAGCCCTGGGCTCTCCCAGCCCTGCTGGTGCCCCTCACTCCCGACCCACTGCCCCTGCCAGCCCCGCCCTAAGCTCCCCCAGTGTTGCTGGTGCCCCTCACTCCCGACCCACTGCCCCTGCCAGCCCCGCCCTAAGCTCCCCCAGTGTTGCTGGTGCCCCTCACTCCCGACCCACTGCCCCTGCCAGCCCCGCCCTAAGCTCCCCCAGTGTTGCTGGTGCCCCTCACGCCCGACTCTCAGTCCCACAGTCCATACCTTGCCTGTGTCCTCTGGGCCAGGCTGCAGCGTGACTGAGCAGGGCAGATTCTGCGGGATCTGAGACACAGGGAAGGTTAAGCAGGGCTCTGACCCCTCATAGGGCACTAGGGGTTAGGTGTGTCACAGGGCCCTGCATCCCCATGTGCCATCAGATGTGACTCCCAGCCGGCAGGTAAAACAGAAAGTTTAGTAGGTGACAGGGATACAGTGTAGAACAGACTTGTCAACATAGAAACCAGCAGCAGCCAGTACAATCCATCTGGGGAGAGGGGGGACCAGAGTCAGGGTAGTCCCAGCCAGGCCCCTCCTCCAGCCTTTGTGGTGCTTCCTGGGGTAAAGATGTCACGTAGACACGCACCCCTCCCAGGCTCAACTTCCAGAAAGTATCAGCCACTGTGGATGTGGGGGAGGCTGTCACACTGAAATGCCCAGCCCCGTCTAGGCATTGGTACAGTGCCCAGGGAAACGAAGGCAACACATGGCATGACACCAGAACTAACAAGCAACATAAAGGGCATAAAATCCCCATTTTGCCACATGAGGGGACGCTCTGAGGACTTACTGTGAAGGTGAAAGAGGGTATGGGGGGAGTAGGCAGGGATGTCAGAAATGGTTTATTTTAGTAATTGTGTAGTGTCAGCAGTGCTTAGTGGTTACAGGCCGGCCTTGCGATAAATCCAAGATATGTTTAAAAAAACCTGGACTTATAGTGAAACTGAAACCAGGGCATTGTTCCCCACGGATGACTTCCATGTGCTCAAATTGGGTTTTTTGTTTTGTTTTTGGCATGACCGAAGAGCAGTGAATGGGAGGATTTATAATGCATCAGTTCCTACAAGTGGCAACGACTTCAGTGTGGAACAGATGTATAACAGGGGGACTTAGAGTGGGGGCGCCCTGTACACGGTTACTAAAATGCTCCCTCCTGAGGTTGGGCCTGGCAGCCAGTGAACTCCTGTCCTACTCCTGGGGAGCCCCCTGCCACTCCGTGTTGGTGACAGCAGCTCCTGTCTAGGACTCCAGAGCAGCCTCTGTCTTTGAGGAGCTCAGGCTGATTCAGAGGCATTAGTGCAGGTGGAAGGTTGGAGCTGGTTTTTAAACCAGCTGCTGGCACGTATCGACTCCCACCTGCTGCCCCGCAGGCTCTGAGCTGTTTCAAAGGCAGTAGCGTGGCGTGGTAGGGGGCTCCCATGTTCTCTTCATTTAAAACTTGGACCTATGGGCTGCGACTGAGCAAACCTGCTGGTCCGAGTTTTAAATGCAGAGCACGTAGGGGTGTGTTGCAGTTAACTGGGACTGTTAACTGATAAACAATCGCATATTGGTTAAACGATTAGGCAACTAGCCACTAACATCCCTAGGGTTAGGGGGTGCTGGGGTTCCTGGGGGCTCAGCATGAAGGTGAAAGAGGGCACTGGAAGGTTGAGGGTCCCTGGAGAGTCCCCGGGGCGCTCACCGTGAAGGAGAAGGGGTGGGCATGGGCTCCCAGCTGGGGCAGCAGCCGCTCCTGCAGGCGGGTGGGGGAGCACTGCTCCTGAGGCAGGGTGGGCACAGCCTGGCACGTGGCGACGAAAAGGTCTTTGCGGAACGATAGGCCCAGCACATCCAGGTCCTCACGCCCATAGCGGAAAGCGCAGGTCAGAGTCACAAACACTGCAGAAGAGGGGTGGGGAAGAGGGCAGCAAGACAGGGTGAAGGCCTCAGACAGCTCTACTCAGAATTCCCCAAGCTATTTCCCACCCTCCTTTTCCCCAAGATGCCTCCCCCTACCCAAGAACAGACATGCCAGGGGTGGAGCCTGATCACTCAGCCTCACCCCTAGCCAGTCTGGGTCAAAGGGGCAGTGGTGGAGCCTGGAATCTCACCCCTCTTCAGAGCAGGAGCCTCCCCCCCCAGCCCCTCTCACCTTTCCGATCCTTCAGGTACTCGGGGTCCACCAGCACCACTCCATCTGCATGGGAATCAGGGCAGGGGTGAGACTGGGCAGGATCCCCTGATCCCCACTAGCTCTGTGCACCCCAACCACCCCAGAGCCAATCAGTCCCTGGACCCCCAGACTTCCCCCAGCCACCTCAGCATTCTGACCCCCAGTCTCTGACCAGCCCTCTAACTCCCTACTCCATGTCTCCTAACCCTGAACCCTCATCCCCGTAACCACCACCCCACTCCAATAGCCAACCAGTCCCTGGTCTCCCAGCACCCCAAACACCTCCAGCCCTAGCACCCCACTGCCCCTCAGCCATCTCTGACCCTCAACCTCCAGCACTCCTAGAGCCAACCGGCCCTCTGAACTCCAGACCCCCACTGACCTTCCTCCATGTCTGACCCCCTAACTGCCAGCCCCCCAATATCCCCAATTCCCAGCCTCCACCAATCCTTTAAGGCCCCTACCCTCCCCACTCCCTAACCCCCTAACTCACCCACAGGGTCCACCCGGTCCAGGTGATCCACAAAGTCACGCTTGCCAAGATAGACAGTGAGCTGTGGGAACAGACAGACATGGGGAAGGGGGACAGACAGATCCTCACACCCACGTGGGGAAATAGCCCATTGCAGCACCCAGTGGGTGGGGGGGAACTCTACCAGATCAGGACTGCTCTGATGCAAGCTGTCAGTCCCCAATTAGCACCCCCTTACCTGGGTTCCCAGCTGTTTTCTGAAGACCCGGAGGCTCCCAGACATCTCGCATCGAATCCTGTC